AGCAGCATCTGATTTACCATTTAGTGCACTTTTGGAACGGAGGCCGACTCCTTTGGTCAGAGGAGCCAAGCGTAGGAACTTTACTGGTTGTGTTGACAAATACGTATGAATATTCGACTAAGTTCTCTTTGTAAAGTTGGTAATATCCGTGAGATCAAGCCCTAATCCATAATCCAACATCCACCAAAATCAACTGGTCATGGAGTTTACACTTGCACACTAGAGTGAAAAACAATATTTCTCACCACTCAAGGCAAGCGACTGTGATTCCATGTGTTCCATTAATACCAATATGATCCAAGCTTTCTGTGATACAGAAGTGCGTTTTGAATTTGACGCGTCAGTCGCTCATAATATCGGGTGACCTTGACCTTAGATTAACCCCCCAAAGTTGGCTCGCGCATAACATCGCACCTCTCCTTACTTTTGTCCTGTCTGTTACGGACTTGTGTTTGGCCTTTTTGAGATGATTGTCTTTCTTTGCAATCCTCTGGTTTTTTAAGGAGCAAAATAACGGTTAGATCGTCGGAAGTTTGCCAGCATCAGTTCCCATCGATAAGGTTTGCGAGTCACCCAGTTTCGTGGGTAACGCCTCTCAGTCAGTCCCTAGGTGAACGTACTTCCAAAAATAATCTAATGGCAACCACCGAAAGCCAAAATATTTGCACTTTACTCCGTATGTGTCTGTTGTGCTTCGTGTCAGATTGTTCAATTATTTATCCGCCTGGTTACTTTTGTCCGCAGAGCTCTGGGCATAACTAAACATACAGTGCTTAACTCTCGTGGATAGTTAAATCCTCCGGCGAGTAGTGATCAGAGATCAAAGAAATCTGTGGCGCTTAATTCCCGACATTAATTTGGAAGGATTGTTGTCCTTAGTCCTAGATTACTATTGGCCACGGACTCAACTGTCGTACACCGTGAGAATGGACCAAAAGACATGACGAAGAACAACACCAAAAGGATTTAGTTATCTGGCTCTCTTTAAACATGTCATTCCCACTGCATCATGAAAAATGGACTCAAAAGTCATTCGTCGTTCTACGGGTGATTCGGCACACCTTCCCCCGTATTACTTGAATGGACTTCCAGATACTCTACGGAACCTATGTCAGACCGCTTATTGAATGTGACAACCGAGTTTTCTACTCAAGAAGCAAGAGGGACGTAACCCTCATTGAGTGTGTCCAAAGAGCTGCCATAAAGATGGTTGCTGGCCTAAAATCCGGCATTTATGAAACGCGTTTCAAGATGCCTGAAGTCTTTCCCTCAGAGTATCGTTGCCTCCAGGGAAACCTACTACTTATGCCTTGTTTGATCAAGGTTAGGCGAAGACATTTTAAGATTTTCATGCTCGCGATGCACACTTTCATTGGGCAACGTTTTTTCGTTTTAGGCAGTTGGTGTGTGGAGTAACCTTCCTCCGTTCACTGTTCACGCTGTTCACGTTACATCAAGAATCCACTTTCAAAGCGCTTATGGTTGCTTCATTATGTGAGTCCCAGCGCTGGCAAACAGACTATCCAGCACTGAGAACTTAAAGAGCAGTGCTACAACCTTTGTTGACTCGTGTCTTTCAGGTGAGCGGAAGCCACCAAAAGACGAACAAATCCGATCCGGGAAGTTTGGGCGAAGGCCTCGATTCTGTGCATCAATCCATGGATGTGTGTGCTACAAAATCCGCCGATCATGCACGTGTGGAGCTATTTCATTTGTATGACTGTGACGTTGAAGTGCCTCCTTCCATTTTGGATACCATGTTTTGGCGACATTTGTAATGATTCAGATAACGCAGTTTAAACTTTTTTGGCTTGAAATTGCAGCATGAACACCATGTGGCAAGAATAGGACATTGCTACTTTCAGCGGGTGGACATATACGTGTCATTGGAATGTCAGGATGACGGGCCATGACAACCGTGTATATTCCATAGGGCAGCATACGCTCTTATGCGCTATCCAAAAGTCTGAAAACTTGAACCACTCAGTCAGCAAGTCAAGCTTAAATGCTAATTGCCAATAGGCTCTGAATATACCTCTTTTTGGCATACGGAACAGGTAGGCTATCCGCTCAAACGGCCGACTGTGATTCGTCGAATGGGTCTATGGGGGTTGAAGGCGTTTTGAACCGCAGAATCAGACGAATGAGGGGGATGTGTATTCTTTTCTGGTGGCCGAAAATTACCATGATCGATCAATGTTGTTGGATTCAAATTTCGACAGCTCGAACAGTGTATGTTGGTAGTAAACATGGACTTGGGCTAACTGATTCATTTCGCAAATTTTTCCTCTGGCACAAACATCTGTCTGCTCATGTGCGGTAGGATTTGCAAAGAATCCTCAGAACAACCTAAGGTGACAAATTCGCTTTCCCTGGGTTTGTAAGACTCACACCCATACGTTAGCAGGCTTTTTCGTCCAGTTTCAATCATACCGCAACACCCATATACATTCTGGGTTACCGCTACTGTTGACTTAACGTGACCCCTGCGCAGTGTTTTTTTCATCTAGATGATTCTCAGGCTAGGATCTCTAATGCACACGAAATTGCGTATTCACGATGGAATGACCAAAAACGTTTTTGTCTTCAAGGGGCTACATAGATGAAGGTTTCCCACAAGGATGGTACATTGTGCCGGAAAACCGGTGACCGCTAGTACTCCAATCTGTCACATTGGTGACAGACTATGCTTAATCCAGCCGATAATTTAGCTGTGGCTACGCACATAGTATTCCATATTGCCAAATGTGGCACAGCCAAAGGATAGGATGAAACAGCTCACGCAAACTCACTATTTATCGACTTTCGAAATATATTTTTTTGTCACACAAAACATCTATTCGTGATAATCTGGTGAATTCAGCGATTTTAGTCGAATGTAAAAAAGTAGTTTCTAGCGACGGGATTGACCACAGGTTCACATCACGCTAGTAGATTGATTTACAGGTACTGGATATTCCAAACATCGACTTCGAAAGAAAAAATTCCATTTTAACCCTAAGAAATCTGCAGAAGTGAACGTTTGATACCGCCATGCATAAAGCAATGCCCATCCTTCTATGATGGAACGACATGGTGTCTACTCGGTGTTTCGTCAAAGGGAGACATTTTGTAACTGAACGTGCCCTTATGCGATTTCAAATGCAAACACGGTTATTACTCTTGGAAACGAAGTTCCGGGCCTACAAGCTGTTTGCCCAATTAGATTGACACTGTTCGGTATAACAAAATTAATTAACCATTCTATCAACAACACTAGAGTGGTCATTTAAATCGTACAGCCCTGAACTGCTGTTCACAAGCTTTCTCTGATGGAATGCGGTCAATGCTGATTACTTTTCTGGTTTACAGCAACCAAAGAGTTCGCACAATAAACAATATTGGATCCCCTGTCTCAAGAATGGCCACACATCCAAACTGACTGTTGGTTCGTTCACTAGGGTAGATAGTTCAATTGTGGTGTTTTTCTATCCAGTGCGCTGTGGCCCTAAACATGTCACCTCCATTGTTGATGAGATGTTTACGAACAAACTGTTGAGCTTAGCAAGCTACTCAAAAGGTCGCAAAAAAGTCTACGACAGCCCACGGCCGGCTTCTCCCTTTTTGAGGATCAGCAGGTAGGCGCAGTCCCCAAGTTTCCCTCAATTTCATTCGCACGAACTTGGCAAAATACACTCATTTGTGTACTCACCTGGAACCCAGCTGAATCTCTCGTTTATGATGTTCTTCAACAGAATGTGGTGCATCGGACCGCCTCACACTTCATTTGGTACGATATTCGAGATATCACACTACTCATTAGGTCGAAGTGTTCAGAAACCTTGAGTAGTGTGCAACGTCCATACATTGATGGACACAAAAATGTCAAGCGTCGCCTCACTACCATTGATCGGAAGAGCATCATCATAAACGAGAGATTGAGCTGGGATCCAGTTAGGTTACCCGTGAAAACCAGGTGGGTTTGCCAGTGAGTGTATTTTGCTAACCCGAGCAACTTATACTCTCCTTAGTTGCAAAGTGACCGTTATCTATTGGGTTGTTTTGCCCGCAACACGTGTCGAAGACGCATGGATCATACCACACCGACATAGTGATGTTGATGGCTTGGGCCAAGCGCGGAGCCAGTTGACGAGTAGGCTGGTTTGCGCAAACATTGCAGACACAGTTGCTCCATTTCGGTGACACAAAATGACAGAATTAGACGTGTAGGTACTCTCAACCGTGCGTTGGCCTCATCGTTTGACCACAGTGACTTGGGGTTGAACCAAAAAGTATGTAAGCAAACAAATTTACAAAAAAAAACGACTTCTGGAAGTGAGTGTCAGACAGAATATACCGGTGCTACAGTGACTGTTAGCTGCTGTAACAAGAATTCAGCCACCAAGTAAACCTCAGTACGGGGCGTAGTAAAAGTCGCTGTGGGCGTGTAATGAAAGTACAGACAACAAGCCTGCTACACGCACGATACTCTGGTGTCTTTCGTCAGTGAATGGGCGTTTCTGGTGTTCTGGATTCAAAGCTTCTATGCAAGAATTTTAGGCGTACATTGGATTGGTCGTTCGGTGGACCTTTTATACAGTTTGATACAACGTGGTCTAGAAATACATTGAAGCGAGATCGCAGTTACCAAGTCAGAAAATTTTGGTCACGAGTGAAATGTCACTCGCACAAATTCGAAACATCATGAAATCTTGCACGCGTCTACTAAAAATCCTTCATCAGTGGTGCTATCTATATTCAGTGCAGTTTAGCAACCCGAAAAAAGCAAAGGGGCGATAAAAGCATTGTGAAGTTGTCCCCAAATGGAAAAGACTAACAGAAGACATGGTATGCCAACTTGAACCACAGAACCTGTGAGTAGTTCGCCCCCTACCTGAATACCACGGTGCCATACTATGGATAACACACACTGGCCTAGTGGCGACGTGAAAATCCCAAGTGCGATAAATGTGCACAGGTTGTTTATGATGAGGAAATTTATGGAATAGTACAGATCTCGGAGTTTATGATGAGGAAATTTATGGAATAGTATGGAATAGATCTCGGAAAAATACAAATTAAATAGATGATCTAATCAAAGCCATGCAGCTTCTTCTTCCAATCCACTGCGTCCGCCCAGCTCATCGTTCCGCTCAGTAGTTTACTGTAACGAATGGAAAAAAGTGGGGATCACAGAAGCAAAGTGTAGTAGATTTGACGTGAGTATTCTCGATAATTTGAAAATGCATCCCGATCCCACAAAGCCCATGGGTTGTCCATGCCTTCCAAGTATCCCTAGGGAACCTCATTCTCCCTACGCATCTGGTTTAGACGCCCGCTACCACCATAGTCACTGGCCTAAACGGTCAATCCGTCAACTGGCGTATATGACTGACCATGGATGTGATAAACTGAAGTAGCTCAGACGAGGATGAGTGGAACTTCCATCTGAGAAGTCATCACTAGGGGAACCATCCAATAAATGACGAAGTGGCGCGAATTCCGTGGCACTACGTCGTGCCTACGTACGAGTTATTCGCACTGAAGGTCCGCCAACTGCTCAAACAACTAGCCTAGAGCTCACGGGTCCAACCCCCCCTTCCCGGGGCGTTTTGTGAGATGCGAACTGATTATGATTCCCAATAAGGATGAAATCGCTGCACAACGCTAGATTTCCTCAGGCACCCCAGGTTAAGAAAAGTTTCACACTCTAATTTGCACTGGCATAGTCATCTTAGCGTTCAGGGATGATAACGATGATAATGTATTCATATCCCCGCATATGTTCGCCGAGTTGAGATTTGGCACCGCGAATTCGCTTGCCTAGAATAAGCCAACTTGGCCTTTGGTGAGATAAGACAGTGTCATTATCACGCGAGACGAAATTTCAGTCAAACGACGTTGCTGCAATCACTCTCCATTCCCCTAACTTCCATCTCAAACACGAAGGGACGAGTAATTCTTTTTCCGGTTCTTGATCTCTTTAAAAATTAGCGACTAGTAAATTTCAAAAAATTTCGCAAGTCAACGTATACTGCGGCAGTAAAAGATGGGTGAAATGTAATCTTTTGGAATATTTCTAAGGCCCTTTCTAACCATGCTAATTCTTTTTTTGTAGAAGGTAAACGACTTGCGAATCGCACACGAACGAATTCAAACAAGGTTACGAACAGACAAAGTTGACTAGAGACAGAGAGAAAGGCACGTACCGGAGACAGGCAAAAGTAGCTGAGGTGCGTTCGAATTCCTTTGCTTTGGCCAGTCCCAGTTGAATGACCTGCGAACGAGGAAACGGAGGAAAACTAGAACCGGAGAACAAACGATAAACCGAACTACGGGGAATTATAAGTGACACAAGGTCAAACGAATGAGCCTTGGAAAGAGTCATACATCTAAGGCTGGGTCCGCCTAAAGTCAATTAAGCATGGATGCTAACATATTCAGCGGTAGTAATAGCCATCCTAGCAACCTCCACCGGAGATTTCGACCACGCATTTAGGAAAAGACAAGGCTGAGGTGGATTCAGGCCACATTTAGTAGGCCCACTTCGGGTGTCGCTTGCGAGTGGTGCGGTCCACCATTCATTCAAAAGATAACGGGTCAACAGTTGGTTTTGGGATTATTTGCTCATGATATACAGGTAGCGCAGTCGCAAACAGTGGCGGATTAGCGTTGCGTTACTCACGTCGATTCTTGTTCTGTGCGTCCTTCAGAATAGCGCGAACTGTGAGGCGGAGAACATTTGATATAGAAAAAGGATACGAATGAGATTACGAGACGTCTGGGTGTGGTGGGCAACCTGACTGAGTCAATGTTTGACCAGGCACTCTGCACGATGCGAATGACGTTCGTCCCGTCAGTTCCCATCGAGATCTTACGAATGATTGGTGGTCGTTGGCTTGTTCGCTGAGCTGGGCAATTTGATTGCAAACGTGTCACCACCAATCGAGATGACATCATCAGTGCGTTATTGTGGAGCGTAGTAGAGCGTAGCGGTGGGTTGGTTGTTGTTCGGAGGTGTGGACGTTTCAATATAATTGAGGTAGAGTGGCAGCAGGGTCCGTTCTATGTACACTGATGACTTTTTCCACTCTGAAGCCTTAAGAACAACTGAATAAACCTGCTTGTAAGGAAGCGAGGCATCGGCGCCAACACTGTTGTTAATGATGAACTTGTCCCCTTGCTTGTCTTGTTCCATTGGGTGTACCCGGTGCTACGGAGTGTTCAGCGGACTGCAAACGACGCTTCAATGTGAGGCCGCTGTTACTTCCTCAGTCTGGTGCGCGGACATTCAACACAGTCTGATGAAATAAGCAAAAGTCAGATGAGCCACATGAGTGTGAAAGATTTATGTTCATCGGAATGTGAAGATTTCCACTCGATTAACGTACGGTGGTGAACCTGGAAATTTCCAACAAGGAGAGGAAAAAGGACGTCTGCTTGCAGCAAGGATTGGAAAGGCACCGCGGTCAGTCTGTCTGATAGTGTTGGTGGGAGTGATACGTATATGACGTGCACGGTCGAGCTAACAAATGTTGCTGGTCGGCTTCAACTGTGAAACAACAGAACGAATAAAGCAAGGCAATCCAAATTATGGAAGCTGTTTAATTCTGTGAATAAACGACAAGACAGCTTTCCGATGCCAAAGGCAACCTTGAAACAGCACACTGAGAAGCCATGGAAATGTCGTCAATGCTCGCAAAAATCACATTCCATCGTGAACTTTATTTGCTCGGATGATCACGAGTAATCCGGCCCCAGACGTTGTTGTTAAGGGACAGTAGAAACAGGATGTCCGGTGGATAAAACCACGGAACAGGTGATCCAGTTCCACAGAAAACAGCGGACGTTACCCGTGTTATAAGCATGCACCCGTTGTCCATTGTGCCAATTCGTTTTCCCTCTTTATGTGATTGTCGCAGTAGGGTAATCCGCTCTTTCTGACCTGATCAGATTGTGTGTCCTGTCCAATGATCCACACCAGCAGAGTCATGTTTCCAGCTAACCCATGGAGCACCAATCCATGCCTGTCATGGTGTGGGAGCCACGGTTATTCCAGCCATTTCGGTGTTCTACGGATGTCCAAACAAGTGCAATTGAGGGGGAAGCTTCGAGAGGCATGGTAGCTCATGACAATGCTTCCAGATATCCTAGGGAAAAGCCTCACAGGCGCAAACTAGGAAGGGTTAGACTAGCTAGAGGCCTGGGTTTCTGTGTTTTAACTAATCTTTCCTCTTCTCCAAGACGTAATTCAGCTGCACAAACTTGTCTGAAACTATCAAACCAACAATGAATATCCTACTTCGCTTGTCCACTGGGTGAGATGAAGAAATCCAAATACGCAGTAACTTGATCGACCCTCTCATCTTGTATGTTGGGAGGCCGCGCAAGTATACGAAGTTTGGAAAAGAAAGCTTCATTGATGAGACGCTACCTACGGAAAAATCCCAAGATGCAGTGAATTTTTTCTCCAAAAATTGTTCTGTTGTACCCTTATGATCCGAAATCGACCGATTACTCTGTCCTGATTCGCTGAGAAGCACGACATTGATCCTCTCCGCGAAACAGAAACGTTTTCATGGAGGCACCAGTAAAACCACTCTACAGTTGGTTAAACAATTATGTACAGTGCGTTAGGTCACAAGTACAGAATCAATTGTTGTTCCTCGACTTGACTGACTCAGTCCATCACGCCGAAAGATCACAGGAGAAATTGAAACCTGGATGAAAGGTGGCCGTTTTGTTTGTGTTCAAGTGTTACTTTGTAAACAGAAGCTCCTTCCTGTCAGTTCTCCAGATATCGCCAGCATGTAGCCTTCATTCCAATAAAACGAATCGTGAAAACTGCCCCAGCGGAATGCCACTTACGCAGCAGTTCGTTAGGAAAAACAAATGCTATGGCCATCACGTGGAAAATTGCGAATCGCCAAGACTGCATCGCTCTTCAAGATGGTCCTTAGATAAAGGAAATGAAAAAGTGGAAGAAAATGTCATAAGTGCCGCACACTGATCGCTCCCTAGATTAACTTTGGCCTTAGCACGGAGATCAGTGATGTACAGGCAGTCAGGAAATCTACTCTAAAGTCTTTGGCTCAGTTCACCTCGTAGTTCAATAACGCCCCGTGGAAAATAGGCTTGAAGTGAAACACAAGAAATATAGATACTGGCTGGAAGTCGACTGAACCCGTAGGAACTAGTTAACTCGGGAATTTCGGATGCAGAAACTGATGGCAGGTGTTCGAATGAAAACGAAGGAGTCCTGTAAACAGAAATTCGGAAAACAAAATTCTCTGTTGATGCTAAGATAATAGAAGACAGACTGGATGTGAAAACACGCAAATCACCTCATCTGGTAGATGTGCCAACCGAGCAGCGTTGAATCCGTAGCTTTTGGGGCAGGCTCCGGGAATGAATTTATACAGGAACGTGATATTCTCTAGACCAGCTTCCGCTTCCGATTGTTCTTCCACCATGCAGGCCTTTGAAGGGAAAAAGGGCGAAATATACATATTTACTACAAAACACAGGAGGTAGCAAATACAGCAAATACACAAAGGAAACTGGGAAAGTAATTTACAAATCTTACAGGTCCGCAAAAGATCTGACATCCATACAGAAAATTCCAGTAGAATAGAGGAAGTGAAGTACTTCTAGCGCTCGGGCGTAAAGAACATTAGTGAAAGGTTTCGAAATGAAGGGTAGTATTTTTGAATGCCAGGGAATCCCAGTAAGCGAAACAAACTCTACACTTACCATATGACCTAAACCAATGCGAGCTACTTCAGACTGTTGACCGCTGAGTGCAACCTCATCGACCAGACTATGGTAATGCGTGGAGAAAAGAGTGCGAGGTCCTTGTCCTATCAGCTGATCGGCTCTTGGATTGGCTAGGTAATGTAACACAGCACTCGCCAAAGCAGCCCCGTCATGCGTTGACGTACCGCGTCCCAACTCGTCCATCAAAACAAGACTATGGAGAGTGCAATGTCGGAGAATAGCGGCGGTTTCAGCCAGTTCCACCATGAATGTGCTTTCTCCGGCTAGTAGTCGGTCACTAGCACCGAGCCGCGAAAAGACCCGATCTACGGGAGTGAGCCGGCAAAATGATGCAGGAATCCGACAACCCTAGAAAGCAAAATACGATGGACAGTTACGAGTTTGACAAAGAGTTCAGCAACGACAGAATGAAAGGTATAGATATTAGTGGAGGTGGGATCAACTCAACCATGACAACAGCAACTCGATGGTAAGTAAAAATCGAGCTGTCACTGAGATGGTAGAAGCGACAACATCGTAATCACCATCGCTCGAATGCGTTGCAGACACACATTGTTCTGCAAGTGCCAGTGTGCCTACCGATCCCATCAGTGAATGAAAATTACGAGGATGAAACCATCGTGGTAAGAGTTGTTCTTTAGGAGTATCAAAGATAAAGGTCAGAGAGAGGCGTGTATAAAAAGGAGAACAATTCATGGTTAAATGGATATGCACGGAAATAGCAAGTGTTCAGGTTAGTTTGGACAATCGATCACGTAGCAGACAGAATCGACACATGATCGAGTTCTGTTGTATAGTGGCGGGACCAACACTGTTCACCAAAATGGTACACAAGAGTGTCTGTATTGACTGAGGTGTGACTCAATCTATTAAAGTGATGACTGTAAGCTTTAATCCTTTAGTTCTGGTCCACTGAACAGGGTCTTCGGGACGCTCAACCGTGATCGTAGATGTCTCAGTGAAGTATTTTTGAAGTATCTTCAAGGCTGATGAACTTTGGTGTGCGGAAAAAAATCTGGCCCACTGGATCGGGATGGCAGCATACACCTCAGTACCTTAGACGTCTACAAGTTGCACGTTGTTCGGGGTACTCAGTGCTCCTGTCGTTCTTAAGTTGGACAATGGCCTTCAAGCGGCTAGACACGTTAACATGATGATGGTCAATGAAATCGGACGTCAAGGAGTGCCCCGTTGTCCATAAACATTTGAGCAACTTCCTAGAACAGACAGTCGATTGCACTTCGATTCTATCAGAGTTTTGAACAAAAGAACGTCATTATGACGGACGAGGTTGTGTTGCCACAGCGCAGCGAAGTAAGTGAAATGGCTTTGTCACGAATTTTCATTGGATTAGTACATCAGATAGTAGTCTAAACCCACATTTGCATGTGAGAGATGGACAGACATGAGCTAATAAGTTCCGCCGAAAAGTGATGATTTGCTCGATCGCTCGACTATTGTGTGGTATGGGGATTTTAACCAGCTGCCAAAAGCACAAACAATAAAACGAAGATTCCACATCGCCTAGTTTGAGTGGAATTGTCTTACATCATGCTACGAACCTTGAACAACTGAGGCATTTTTCTAGACGATAAAAAGAAGGACAAATGCGTGTTCCAGTCCTGACTGGCTCTCATTGCTACCACAGGAGGGGCGGTTAGTTACACGAAGTTCATTTATTAAGGATCTGCGGTTACTAGCCCGTGGTGGAAAAAGCATAAAGGCTCAAGGGACAACAACTGGACAGTGAAATAGGGATTTGCCTGCCTGTTGAACATGCGAATGTATCATTCCTTCGCAGTGCCACCAGAGAAAATCGGGACGCCAAACTCACCAGATGTGCTAGGATAACCAACAAGGCGGTTTGACGCATCAGAGTGGATTTACCACCCATATTCGGTCCAGTGACAAGTAAGGTGAGAGGGACGTTGCCAGGATCGTTTGAGTCGATGATACCAAGGCGTGTATCGTTTGGAATAAGGTCACCGCCACTGAATGTGTTGATTAAGCATGGATGAAGACCATCGACAATCTCCAGGAACGGCTAGTTAAAATGGAATGGCAGGTTGTGTAGTGTAATTTCGAATTTTCATCATACTAACAGGAAAGGGATAAAAATCTGGGCAGTACGAAGTGATTTTCGTTTATCACGACGAGGGCAAGTCGAAATAAGACAGTGATAGCCGATAACACATGGCCCTGATCAAATGAACATGCAATTAGGACCAACAAAGTGCACTGCACGCGTTAAGTTACTGCTGGTTTTAACCCATTTAAACATACCTACGACAATGAGGGCCAACCACTGGACCTCAAGCAGCGTTACTGAACATTTTGATTTTCTGAACAGACGGTACAGATTCCATACGGTATACAAAATTATACGAGCAATGAAGGTGTTTCAATAAGGGAAACTACTCACAAGGCTGCTGAAAACACTTCGACAGCCCACGACCGGTCTCGCCATTCTTGGGGCTCATCAGGTAGGCGCAGTCCCCGAGTTTCCATTAACCTTATGTTCCACTTGAACCCAAATTGCACCGTTATCGAGAAATACACTCATTTGCAAATCAGTTTGGTTTTCACGAGAGACTCAACTGAATCTCTCGATTATGATATTCTACAACTGAATGTGCTGCACACAGGCAGCCTCATGATTCAGTTCGAACGATATTCGAGATATCGCAGTATATTTGAATGTGAGGCTTTTGTGTAGGACCCGAATGTTCCCACCAGTGAGGTAGGTGCATTCGGGCAGGAATCTAGAAAAGCAATTCAGGGCACGCGGCTCGAGAACCAGTTGCTGAATCGACTTCCTCAATGAAAACAGGGAGTGTGGTGGTATACAAAAGAAGAATACTGACAAGATTTTGTTGCCTTAAAACGGGTGACGTGAACAGCACCATGATAGCTACCAACCCACCTGCTGAGAGTCGTTTTTGAGGTCGATAAACTCTGGGCGACAAGTCACGTCAGATGCGTTCGAACTGTAGTTTGCCAGTGCAAGTAGGCAGTCGAATTCAGCCAAACATCGCATTGCAGAATGCCATAGGGTGAAACTGGAAAAACAACGACAACAGTAATCACACAGATGACATAGGTGAACTTCGTGATAACAACAGTACTCCAGTAGTGAATACTGAAGTCAGGGAAGAATATCATGTTAGGAGCAGGGTGAGAGATGAGAAAACACCCCATATCGATGTCGGAGATAACTATGGATAAGTTGCATACACTTTTGACATAAACAGATCGGAGCATCAAAGGGGGGAGTTGAGTAGACTTTTTTCGCGGACCTCATCTGACGCGAGCCAGGTACACTGGGACAAATTTTAGCTAGGTAGTCGGATTCGAAAGTGAATCGTTCAGCTGTAGCACCTTTTCGGTGTCTAACTGCCGTGCCACCCGAAGGAAGCACGAGGACTGGGATACTGCCAGGTTGCCCAAGCCTAGGCAGGGGAAGTCGGGAGGCAGATGTCGGGTTCGAACCACGGACCTTCTGGTCAGTAAGTTCACACTCTAACCACTGAGCCATTCTAAAGTGGCAGTTTGCTTGTCAATGAGGCCGTCGTTTCATGCGCTGTAGAGGTTCCAAGCACGTGAATCACATTCAACGGGGGAACGTGTCGTTTATCAGCCCTGCTGTACGCTGCGATGTAGACGGTCTACCTGAGGTTCCCACGCAACGGCTGACGTGGTGGCATAAAAGTGCTTTCATGCATGCATCAATGGCACCAAAAACTAGGTCGGAGCACGATTGAAATCCTAAACCAAAATCTCTGACTCCAAAGCCTGACGACCTCAATGCAGGGGCGGTTGGCGCAAGATGACCAGAATGACCCAATTTTAAGGGACAAGCTATCACAACTGATGAAACCCTAAACCTGAGGAGCCAGGAGGCTGCTGTCGGGTTCCTATTCAAACGAATCGGAGGAACCGTGAATACTGCATAGTTAAGTCTCTAACATAGTCTAGTGGGCTGCTAAGGTACACAAAGAGCCGCATGACGATGGGGCCCTGCCTCTCAGCGATGTAGTTCTGACCAACCAATTGTCCCTCAGATTAGCACACAGAGTTACAATGCGCACATTCTTGAGCTACTGATGGCTATTCACAATTTCATTACAGGTTAGCACAAACTATTGTGCTATTTTCTGCTGCAGTTCAGAATAAATACATCGAGAATATGGGAAAATTTGTGCTTTATGACTTCTCAATTATTGCTACCAAGTTTAATAATCCCAAGTTCAATATAACTAAGGTAATAACAGATAAGAAAGCGAACAACGTACTGGTCACTGAATGATGCAAATATTGTCTGCAGGATATTGCGTAAACTAGCATCCTTGCGATCTTCCGCTGCAGTAAGACGTCCTAACAACTCTGTGGTTTCATCTGTACGATATCGCTTCACACCTTTACGTTGTGAGACCAATTGCCAATCCCTTGGAACACGCGAAACAGCACAATCGGGTACCTCCAACTGGAATCGATTGCGACCGGTACCCCAGTAGGCGAGCTAAAAATATTAGGTGAAAAAGGTAGTCTAGATGAATTGAGTAACCTTCATAGGAACAGTTCGGTTCTGTCGCACTCTGCAACTTTCATACTGGTACAGGTCTGCTCAGCGATTTGCCGAGCTAAACTGTAAAAATATGGACCGACGGCTAAGCATAAATACTTCAACCAGCGAACTCAGCTATGCAAGCAGCCTTCAGACGGGCAGAACTATTCGTTAGCAAAACTTGGCAGTCACGTGATCAACGGCGCACCCCAGACTTTGGGCTATCACGTTCAGTGCGTGCTTAGCATAAATGACATCACCAACAGTGTCTAAACTGAAGCAATGTAGGGCATAGCTTCTGATGCATGGTTTAACGGTGATAAACTGATATATATATATATATATATATATATATATATCACCAAGCACTCTGTTCTGACAAGTAATCCACACTAGAAGGATAAGGCGCAATTAATTTTTTTCACCTACAAACTATGCGCTACTCATCGTTTTCGAAGAAGTTTGGTGACAATCGGTAGATTTATTGCTGGGCAACGTTTCGCCTTAGACACAAAAGCTTCGTCAGGCCAAGTGACTAGGTTCCGAGGTTGCGCTACTCACTTGCAAATAGTAAAACATAACCTGTGGGACAAGGAACACTCCATTAGCAAGAGAACAGGATTCATCATAAAGAAAGTACGGACAGGTAGGGAGGTCACTCGTGACACTGTTCATTGGGTTAGCCGAGCTTAGGTGATAGCATAAACGTTTTGGGTACGATAAGGGTAACTGAAATAAACATACCCGAATACCAAGTAGCTTCCCACAGGCAATGAGGTAGTTCTCCAATTCCGAATTGATAGTCTGAAATGAAAAATCAGTCATTTTTTTCAAAGATCGATCTTATATTGGATGAAGTACTATTTTAAGTGAAATACGATACGGGATACGGTGGCTCCCTTTCAAGATTTCCTCCGTTCGGTAACGCTGGTAGTGTGTGGCGTTGTCCACCATCAATTGTACGGCATCGTTAATAATCGTAAGTGTATCATGAAGAAATTGATCATTTACTTAAAATCTTGACACTCTGGGAAACATCGGTCACACGAGAGAATCTTCCCTTCCCAATTTTTGGAAGCTTTGTAAGAAACCTTTAATGGGGGCGAACGTCTCGGAGAGGAGATCCAGATGCACTCTTGGGCAAGACGGTGGAGGCGAGTCAGACGATGGAAGACCAGTCTACTCAGTCAAACAGAATGAAATTGGTGTGTAAAATTCAAGAGGAAAAGAACTTCACTGTAAAAACAATAACCGCATCATATGGATGAGCAATAATTATCGTCGGCTGTAACACCCATTCGATGAGTAACCATCATGCCAGCCAAAGGAAAAACGAGGGCTGAGATACGTCTGGGTTGCTCAAGGCAGGACAAGAACAGTCTATATGTCGGCGTGGATTTCGAACCACGGACCTTCCGATCGGTAAGATCGCACGTTCCCCTCTGAGATAGACCGAGCTTTTTAAGAGATTTAAAATCAATGAACGAATCACTCTTCGAACTTCCAAATCGCGAGGACCACGCACCGAATAATGTATTCAAGTGATTTACTCACCTGTATTTCTCCGACAGCCTCGTCATAATCCTCGTCCACTCCAGGTTCAGGAGTGATTCGACCGTCTCGCTTAGCCTTTTCCGCGTCAAAGGCGTTCTAAAAATTATAAGGGTTTTAAGAGAATATTCATAATGTCTTTTAATCTATGTATGAATTGAGAAATACTACTGTGCGATTGACAGCCAAACATTTTCATAAGTGGTAGATTCACTATTAGACGACAGACGAAGAGCAACCAAAAAAACAGCTTTAAGATGGCCAATTATTCCAGCCCAGATCCAGAGTTTGTATGAAGCGCATGATAATGGAGGTGCAAACGTCGTGTTGAACAATCACCACAGGCACTTTGATGAGGGATTGTCATTCACCCCGCGTCTTCGAAGCTCGCCAAACAGACAAAACGAAAGCAACGCTGCGGAGTCCGTAACGTTGGCCCGGGTCAAGAGGATCTGATTAGGCATACTCAACGAACGAGATGACTCAGTGGTTAGAGCGCGGATTTACTGACCGGAGGGTGTGTGGTTCAAACCAGGCCTCTGCATCACGACTTCTCCTGTCTAGGCTTCGGCAACCTAGCCGTATTCCAGCCCTCGTGCTTCTTTCGGGTGGCACAATAGCTAGGCACCTAAAGTGTGTCAGAGTTGGACGATTATCTTATTATCTATTACACGACCGAACTAGACTTTCCAGTGCAGTAGTCGAGCGAAATGCCAGACAGAAGTGTTACAGCTAGTGGACACTGAGCAAATAAGCAAGTGAACGTGCTTGCAGTGGATTGTTGTGTAGTTCACCCAACGGCTCGCGTGAGAAATCAGCGTATCCCTGAAAATGCCTGTCAGGGAAGTTGCGACTAGTCGACCGAAACAACTGGAACACGCTTTTTACGCTCCGGATTGTATACAGAAATAATGAAAAACTATAGCCAGTATAGTATTTTCTTTCTTCTTTTCTTTTCTTTCATCAACTTCCGAAGGCAATTTCGGTGTTGCGCATTATTTTTTTCAAGAGACAAAAGACACAGAGGCGGAAAGGCATTTTAGTTCCGAAAACCGATTTTCCACTACCACGGGAGAATTAGTACAACGGGAATTGTCAATCACCTAGACAATCTGGTCGACGGCAGCCACAGACATCGCTAACATATTATACCATTAGGTTAGCGGGCATTATCACACCGCAACATGAGTGTTGACATTGATGCTTCAGTGCCACACAGTCACAAAGTTTATCTGATTATATTTGCATTGTAAAGTGCACGTTCAGGGACTACATGTGGTGAAGCATGACGTTGCACTTTGAAGATACAAGGCGTATGCCGATAAATGGTATGATGGTGGTTAGTCTGTTCAACAGATTGTGCTTCGCCTTTGTCTTCAAAGATGGGGGTATTGTAACCTAAAAATAAAAAAATCCTTCAGCCACCCAAAGGATGCACGAAGGCTAGGATACAGCCAGGGGGAGTCGAGAGACACAGATCGGGTTCGAACCACAGGCCTTTCGATCAGTGAATTCGCGCTCTAAGTGCTGAGCAATCTCGCGTACTCCAGTTCGAAAAGATTCTCATCAGCGAAGATTTGAACAGCAGAGCCTTGAAAACCTTTCAGCGTCTGTCTGGTTGTTAAAACAACGACGAATTTAAAAAGACAGGAGAGAGTAGACATCCTTGTCGGGCACCACTTTTTTGTGAGGGAAACTTTTGCAGACCTCACCATACACTCTCACTTGCCCAGATGTATGTGAATATAGGGACAGGATTATGTTCAAACTTCTGGGACATACCCTTTTGAGCAAGTGTGGATAACAGCACTGACCGGTCAACAGAATCGAACACACCCCTAAAGTCACGGAACACCGAAATTGTGCGTCGATTGTAGACGTGGCGTTGCTCTAACACCTGAGTGTGGTCAACACAGCCTTTACCCGATTCAAATTCTGCTTGATTCTCACGAGTCCTGTATCCTGGCCCTAAACATCTATGCAGAAGGAATCCAGCATGGAAGCACGAACTGCTTGTTATCATGCTTGCTCCAGTGTGGAAACACCAAAAGCAGACTGGCTTTTGGGTTTTGAAAACAATCTTCGAAGTATTTACGGTGGTTGCCAAAGTCGGACGCACGGAAGATGCAATTGAGTATGATGTCCGGCGAACAAAGCGGTCAGTCCTAGTGCTTGGACTCGTGGACAAACTGTTCAAATTGGGGTTGAGGTGGGGCAGAGGTAATACGTGAAGCAGTGAGAACGATCGCGAAAGCTGTAGTATGTTTCCGCTTACCCACCTTGCTGTTTGCATTAAGCATAAGGCGACACCATGCGAAAGCCGATGTCCTGTGTTTCACAATCGAGTCAACATGCGTGAAAACAGAGCTGCGGCCGTTGCACAAGTCTGTCAACTTTGACGAATATGTTTTAGTCACCGATGTGCTGTATTATTGAATATACGAGTATTCAGTCGTCTGACTGACAACCTGATGCAATAGAAATTTCAAAAGCCATCCGATGAAGGGAATGTTTCTGCAAAACTTGAAAGTGTTTCTTCGTGGGGGAACAACAAGCATAACCCATCCGCAAATGTCGCACACGGATGAAAGAAGAAACTCACCAAGAAAAAGGCGATTTTCGGCCTCAAGTCAGGAAACTGTCCACCATCAGCTTCTAGTTTCGTCAAGGCCCGTAGGAGGGGTGCACTGTGGGTGCCAAAAGAAAATTAGTGAGAACGAGGAAAAACGAGACGATAAAGGGTTCAGAATCACCAGCTCCACTGTAACCAGGATTTCAACCGAGTAGCTTTCAACTAGTCAAATAAGTGAAACCTCGCAAGAAATACGGACTGCTTATGAAGAGCGGCTTGCCCCATTATCGTATTAGGTTATGGCGAATAAACAAGAGCAATCGAACAACAGTAACCATGAATCGGTCGTCCGATCCCACCTCCACTGTTTCAGACAGCGCTCTCAGGATTGGCTGCAACCCTCAGAGGATGATTCTCGTTTGCGTCTGACAGGCTGTTGTACGACCCTCATTGCTAAATCAGATGAAAAAGTGACTAATCTGAACAAATGTATTTCCTAGCTCTGAACAAGAACACAAATGCCATTCGTTGGCATTCCAAACTCGGTGTTTACGAGCTGGTTCTCACAAAATGAAGACGCTACCAATGGTCATTAGTGAACACACAGATAAGCTGATTCATGGATGATGATCTCCCATAGAGCTTGTAATGCCGCCTGTACACATGCCACCACACACATGAGTTTTGAATGAATGGAAAGTGGCGAGTCTATGCTACCGAGATAACGGCAAGACCTGGTGTCTCACGAAATAGTATACACACACGATAAGTAGGAAAAAACACAATCAACAATAAGAAAACGCAAGGATCTAGTGGGTGTAGGCAAGCATACCAAAGAGATAACGCTCCTAGCTGGGTTATGATTTCACAAGCTACTTCGAAGCCGTGTAGGGTAGCCAAAAAGTCAACAATGTTCCTTCGTGAGTACTGTACTTCTTCGAACAGTATCGCTCGAGCATCGGGATGATTCTTTTCATTTTTCTTTGATCCAACGAGGTGGATCCTAAAACACAAGAGAAAAGCGAACACACAAGTGTATGCATTTTCGTGCAGTCGTTATTCAAGCATGGGAGCAATTAAGAGGAAATTACAACACAAAATATGAAAGGGGGAAAAAGTAGTTTCAGGATGAGGCGCATCTCTAGTCGTGCTAATATTCAAGGGAGGAGGCGTATGAATGATGAGCACAATTAACCGAGACATTAGCTTCTTGAATATGACAGAAATGTTGAACTTAATGCACTACTCACAAGGTTGTTGAAAACCTCGACAGCCCACGATCGGAGGGATGGCAAATTCGTGTGGAATCCAAGTGTGCTCAAAGTGATACGGGACAGTGTCTGCGGGAGCTCATTTGTCGAAGCACTCGTCCTGTAAGCAAGACGGTGCGTTCTGAACTCTATTCGATGATGCTTAGACCATCTTTTGATAGATGTGTACTTGGGTTTCAACATGCGCTAAAAGCCCACTTCCATGGTATTAGACTGCATGATAGGTGTCTACGGAATTTCTCTTTAATGGACTGATATGAGACCAAGTCCATGGTATAGTAATTATGGCTCATCGATAAGATGGAGCATCGCTGCACATACAGCTTTATTTTGGTGGATTTTCTGCCAAAAAGATTAACAATCGGCATAATTCGGGTGCACAGGTACCGTGCAACTTAAAGTAGCCACGAGGCCCAGGATATTTGTAAGTTGTTCAAGCATAATAATTGTTCAGCTGTGATACCCTTTCGATGCCTAGCTGTCATGCCAACCGAAAGAAGCATGAGGGCCGGAACACTGCCAGATTGCCAAAGCCTAGACAGGAGAAGTCGAGATACAGAGATCGCATTTGAACCACGGACCGTCCGGTCAGTAAATTTGCGCTCTGAGCCACTTCGCCCTAGTTCAAGCACAGACACGAGAAACGCTGCTGTAAGCCTTAGACGCTGAGCTATCTCGAACTCAACGACAACAAAAGGGATCGTTGAGTACCGTTTTGGCGTGACGTACACCTGAGGCTGTGGGCGTAACAATGGATTTGAACTTCCACTTGTGCTCTCAAACTCAGAATCGTAATATTGGCATTACACAACACAGAACAAACAACGTTTTTTAACCTCACGTTTGAAGCCCTGAATTTGAAAACTTAATTCGATGACTACGATGAAGCAGGGGGGACATATCCGAGAAAAATGGAATGGATACGAGTGGACACAAACGACGAAACATTAAGAGTCAGTTTTGAACCAGACGGAACACTAAACCTCATGCGAGTTTGGTAGTGCATTACTAAGTAGAACCCACATGAACAGAACACTTACTTTGTGAGCAGGCGCTCAAAATCGGGAAGGCGCCGAAGACTCAGCTTTATCGAATTCAGCTGGCCCCCAATATCAATCAAGTTGTCCACGGCATCTTGGCGCGCCCGAATCAATTTGGGGTTGCATGGAGGGGCAGTCAGCCACTGGCGCAGAAGTCGGCGACCTAGCGAAACAGGCCAGAACAGAATTAGCACACACCCTTAGAGGAATTGTCTAGTGCTAAATGTCCACACCTACGCATTAGTTGACCTCAGTCGAAGCGAAACAGAAAAACAGATTTGAAGTGGAATTACTGCTACCACTACTAAAATCAAACGGATCACAGAAATACAACAATTTTGGACGGTGAATCCCTCGGAAAGTAGATGGTCATGGTATGAAAGAGACGACCGGCAGAGCCAAGCTGGAGCTGGAGCTCCGTAGAGGATAACAGCATGGAGTCTATCACGGGTTTGAAAATGCAGCGGAATACTGATCAACAGTCAACACGAGACAAAAACAAATGCTAAAACGGTGAGGGGAAGAGATAATCCAAATTCCTCAAATACAGCTAACGGTGAATTGATATCTGTTGATCACTATGAGTTTAAATACCAGGCAAAAGCCAGTGAGATGGTCAGAAAAAAGAAAAACGAATCAGAATGTGGACGTCGGGACGAACATGTGAATAGGAAAGTACATAAAAGCTTGTCCTGGGTAAAAAAAATAAGGCGGTATTCGGTCAGCACATTCAAGTGACCACCATAAACTAGAGATGAAAAATAATTTGTCACTGAGCATTTCCTGCAACATATGTACAAGCCAGAGTTTCAAATATAAAGTTGATGGTTGTAGATTCGGGGACTGGGCCTACTGGATGAACCAAAAGGTGAAAGCAGCCTGGGTTTGTAATCGAGCTTATTATGGGAGGGATGAAGCCGGTCTAAGCGCAGGCCAGTAGCATGGATTGACGTCTGGACACAGACACAATCTTTCAAGGGCACGAAAAGACATTAGTCAACTCATCCACTTACACAACTACGTTTCACCAAAAATATTAGCTAGATATTAAGTGTGAAGGACTTAGCCCCTAAACGACCTTCAAAACCTGATGCAATACACGTGTTTTCGGGCGTTTGACCAGGGAGGAAAAACGCCGATATTCTTGTGTAAATCCAAGAATGACCTTACGGACTACTTATCCAGTAGGGAACCGAGTAAAACTGGTACAGACAGCTTACATCGTACGAACATAGAATAATATGCTCATTACAGGAACGAATACAGGCTAGTTTTTCCTTCAAAGCTCAAATT